AGATACAAGTGTTCCACTATGTTAGCAAGAAGAAAGAAGACAAGCAAAGAGCATGAGTCAGGATAAGGAAAAATTAACATTATGGTTATTGCTGAAGTTTTCTAACCTTACATTAGTTTAAGTTATATGTTATATAACAGAATAACAGAATGAAAGAAGTTTATTGCACTTTGAGGCCTGTTAAATATTATATGTACTTATATGAATTATTCTGGCTTTAATTAATTTTCCTTCTTCTAATCAACGAATAAAGAACATAAAATTGTCAATTTTCAAGTAGTAAAAAGAGTTTCAAGGAAACATGATGATCAAATACAAGAGCAAAAACTGATATAAATTTTCTGTACATTGAGCATGTTCAATTGCATTCTTCTTTTAGCACTAACAGCCACTGGACCAAAATAACTCCATAACTGACAGGTCTGTGATCTGCAGCAGGGTCACTCAGGCTGTCAGTGTGACGAGCCAATAATGGTGTTACTGCAAGCCCTGATTATTCTGACATGATTAACACTGCTATCTTCCTTCACCGTGTTAACCTAAAACATAGACAACTAACGCGATTACGCCTAGAAATTGATCAGTTGCCATGGTAACAATTACACAACTAACTATGATTGTCGTGGTATTGTGGAATGAAATAGTTTCTGATAATGTGTTCCAGATATCAACAAGAATGTTCATGACAGACTCAAAGTATTTTCCCGACAACCAATTCCATGCATTTAACAATACGATCAGCGAAATGCTTTCTGAGAGCGAAATCAGCACACATGGGTTTGCTGAAGACTAAATCTAACCCGGTAATTGACACTAGAAAGAATCAGAAACATTACCAACACCACATGCACTTAAAAAATATCAGGAAAGGGTATTTAAGTGAAAACAGGACCAACTTTTTTAAATGAGACCTTTTCAGATCCTTCATAATCCTTTCCAATCTAGGCCCCTAAGAATAGGACATACAAAGCTGCATAAAACAACTAAAGTACTGTCGGAAATAGAAAAAACCTGATTTTTCACAATTAATGTAGTCAATATGTGAAAATGTGAAATATCTGTTAAACTAAGTTCGGCCTAACTCCAGTCTCAGTGGTAGAGAGATAGGAAACATAGAAAAAGGACTTTACTGATGAGAGATTAGTGCAGAAATGAGCAAAGCGACTTATTTGGAACAGACCTTGACTTTATGCAAATTAGTGTGTGATGATACTGTATTGCAAAGGACACTTTTTAAATGCCCATTTCAAAAATAAACTTATCTTTATTATGAACAATAGCTGACGTAAACAATAATAACTTTAATACCAAATCTATTAAGGATGTAGCTACCATGGAGTCCCACTATCACTATAAAAGGAAACAGGTAAGAGGGGTCGTCTCAAACGGTGGGTCAGGACGGTGTAACAGATGATGGTTGGGGTCTGGGTGGTTGGGGTCGGGCTGGGTGATAGAGATATCAGCTGAGATAAGATAATCCTTAAGGGGAAATAGATTGGGGAAGCAAACGGCAATGTCATAACAATTTCCAAATACTATCCAGTCCTGTCGATCATCGAGTGGTCATACCACCTATATATTTTAAGTCATTTAATACAAAGGCTGATTTAAGCTTTTCTATGGGTATCATACTCTTTTACATATCTCCACATAAACTTTGTGAAAGAAAGACATGTCAATCAAAAGATGAGACACACTCAACACACATGAGAAAGCATAAAATATCTTTGAGATGACCCCTTGTGCCCGTAGGTAGCACGTGCATTTCATGCCAGGTGAGTCAATGGTCCGACCTAATTGCCATCTATAGTCTGATCTATTGTTTTCAGCAGCTACTGGTATTTTTTCTAAGTTTTGTTCAATTTTACTAGTAAACATGCTTTTCTGGATATCCTATTACGCACCCCACTGAACGCCCAGTTAGGCCGATGTGGGTTATTTCGACATATGCACTTTGCAGTTCTGTAAATTTTAGGGATACAGAGTAACAGCCTAAAAACAGTTTTTGTCTAATGACGACAATACTTTAGTGCTTTTCCGGTTGGTCAGGATATGACCTTGACCTTTAACATCACTAATCAAAATGTCTTAAAGCTTTCAAGACAACAACAAAATCAACGAATTTAATGAATACTATACACCTGAAATGACCAAGTACTGTAATGTTTCAAAACCAAAGTATGACAGCGAAGGTAAAATTATGACATAATCTTTATACAACCCCATTTACAATTCCATCACATACATTAAGCTGATATTGATAAATATGTAGTCTCTAAACACCATTAAACATGTGGAATAAGATTCAAAAACACAATTCTGATGAGGTAAGAAGGCGACTTGAAAGTTTTGGGCAGAAAGTAAGCTGCAAATGAGCATCCATTTGATTCGTCCACAGATGAAATGCAAACTTCTACATACCATACGATTTAACAATTAACAGGTCCATCATTATAGTGATGGTATTCCCCACCCTCAGAGATGAAGATGATACTCCTCATATTCTCCTCCCTGGTGTGATATACGACTCCATAACCATGATAACATCCCATCTAACTTGACATGTATTACTTAAGTTAATAGCAGGCTTGTGACCCCTGAGGAGAACCATGCATTATTAACATTGGATTCCCATCTGGTGCCAGAACTGACTCTACCTTCCTGCAACATTGTGCAAGCTAACATAACATACATGTAATATCGTTATCTTTGGAAGATACGTTTCTGGAGGATGACAATGAAGTGGCTACCTTAACTCATGACTACAGCTGAAATCTGAATCCAAATTGCTGTTACCATGGTAACATTCACTGCAAAGCATGCATCATCCAGGAAAGCTTTAATACAAAGGTTTGCAACCACCAGTTGCATCTTCAGTGTATCGTGTATCATATCTTCACAGTATCCTGATATGCATCATATCTTCAGTGTGTCAGGATATGCTCCAAATCTTCAGAGCATCTAGATATGTATATCTTTAGTGCATAGTGACAAGCATCATATCTTCCAACTATCGTGACATGTTTCATATCTTCAGTGTATCGTGACATGTTTCATATCTTCAGTGTATCAGGACATGTTTCATATCTTCAGTGTATCAGGACATGCTTCAAATCTTCAGTGTAACGTAACATGTTTCATATCTTCAGTGTAACGTAACATGTTTCATATCTTCAGTGTATCATGACATGTTTCATATCTTCAGTGTAACGTAACATGTTTCATATCTTCAGTGTATCAGGACATGTTTCATATCTTCAGTGTAACGTAACATGTTTCATATCTTCAGTGTATCAGGACATGCTTCAAATCTTCAGTGTAACGTAACATGTTTCATATCTTCAGTGTATCGTGACATGTTTCATATCTTCAGTGTAACGTAACATGTTTCATATCTTCAGTGTATCAGGACATGTTTCAAATCTTCAGTGTATCAGGACATGCTTCAAATCTTCAGTGTATCAGGACATGCTTCAAATCTTCAGTGTATCAGGACATGTTTCATATCTTCAGTGTATCGTGACATGCTTCATATCTTCAGTGTAACGTAACATGTTTCATATCTTCAGTGTATCGTGACATGTTTCATATCTTCAGTGTATCAGGACATGTTTCAAATCTTCAGTGTATCAGGACATGCTTCAAATCTTCAGTGTATCAGGACATGCTTCAAATCTTCAGTGTAACGTAACATGTTTCATATCTTCAGTGTATCGTGACATGTTTCATATCTTCAGTGTAACGTAACATGTTTCATATCTTCAGTGTATCAGGACATGTTTCAAATCTTCAGTGTATCAGGACATGCTTCAAATCTTCAGTGTATCAGGACATGCTTCAAATCTTCAGTGTATCAGGACATGTTTCATATCTTCAGTGTATCGTGACATGTTTCATATCTTCAGTGTAACGTAACATGTTTCATATCTTCAGTGTATCGTAACATGTTTCATATCTTCAGTGTATCAGGACATGCTTCAAATCTTCAGTGTATCAGGACATGCTTCAAATCTTCAGTGTATCATGACATGCTTCAAATCTTCAGTGTAACGTAACATGTTTCATATCTTCAGTGTATCGTGACATGTTTCATATCTTCAGTGTAACGTAACATGTTTCATATCTTCAGTGTATCAGGACATGTTTCAAATCTTCAGTGTATCAGGACATGCTTCAAATCTTCAGTGTATCAGGACATGCTTCAAATCTTCAGTGTATCAGGACATGTTTCATATCTTCAGTGTATCGTGACATGCTTCATATCTTCAGTGTAACGTAACATGTTTCATATCTTCAGTGTATCATAACATGTTTCATATCTTCAGTGTATCAGGACATGCTTCAAATCTTCAGTGTATCAGGACATGCTTCAAATCTTCAGTGTATCAGGACATGCTTCAAATCTTCAGTGTATCAGGACATGCTTCAAATCTTCAGTGTATCAGGACATGCTTCAAATCTTCAGTGTATCAGGACATGCTTCAAATCTTCAGTGTATCAGGACATGCTTCAAATCTTCAGTGTATCAGGACATGCTTCAAATCTTCAGTGTATCAGGACATGCTTCAAATCTTCAGTGTATAAGAATATGCATACCTTCAAAGAATCGTGATATGTATCACATCTTCAGTGTATCAGGATATGAATCACATCTATATTCAGAGTATTGTGATCTGTGCTGTGGGCGCTATAAAACTACTCTTATTATTTTTATTCTTATTTCTTCAGTGTATTGTTTCATGCATCATCTGGGGTGGTGGGGTAGCCTAGTGGTTAAAGCGTTCGCTCGTCACGCCGAAGGACCGGGTTCGATTCCCCACATGGGTACAATGTGTGAAGCCCATTTCTGGTGTCCCCCGCCATGATATTGCTGGAATATTGCTAAAAGTGGCGTTAAACCCAACTCACTCACTCACTCATGCATCATCTATATTCATAAATACAAAACAAGTCGTAGTATCCTATCTAACAGGTTCCTATAGCTTCTCCACAGTACTTACTTTGTGCTGCGGCAACTGCAAGGCCGACGAGAAGGAACACACAGATTGTCGTCACCCTCGGCATCCTCATCTCTGAAACAACAAAGCAACATTAGAAACTGATGCCGATATCAAAACCATGAAGAAACAGGTACAGATACTTTATGTTATGACAAGAAAATCACATATTACTGAAACAAGGAAGGATGACAATATATGGATGAGCAACTATTTATAACCATGATAACAGTGAGAGCGACATTTGGGTGTAGGTTCTAACAACGTTATCAAGCAAGTGATACCAGTGTTAGAATCTACACTGAAAAGTCGCTCTCATTGTAATAAAGAAGTTCCTTCCTTACTGATCCAACTTCTAAATGCCTCCCAAAGAACTTATTGAAACAAGCCTGTTAGTCTAAAAGTAATAAAACCCCTCAAGGACTACCGAAATCTAGCTATTTTACATGAAAACCACTTCAAAATGAACACCATACTAATCAGATTGGACCGACAAAGAGCCAATTTAATGGCAATATAACTCAGACTTTCTTAGTTTCAGCAACAAATGCCTTTAAAAAGTAAATTCATATTCATCATGGTGGAGGCATGTTGAGAGCCAAATGTTGGCTAACAGCGCTGTTGTTGCTGTTCGGTAATCTCTTTGTTATCGTTTATGACGAAAGGTCACAGCAATTATTTTGTTCCACACTGAAGAATGCCACCCCCAGCATGCAGCCGTTCATTTCATGTGTCAATATATTTCAAACTCGCACAAACTTAACTTCTAAAACAGAATGCACATGAGATAAATATTCATACGTATAAAAGCAAAATTACTTTGTTCACATGGTGTTAACACAAGTTTACTCGGCCACTAACACAGATATGTTTGTATACTAAAATAGTTATGATGAAACAGTGAATAGTTTTACGTTTTGAAGGTCAGTGTAAATATTCCAAATACTTTCATGAGAATTGTTGCCAAGTGCTTGCATGACAAATTTACACATACCACAAATTTGCATTAGAGTAAATACACTTAGCAAAAAGGGCTTCAGGGGTACCTTAAATCATTTTCGAACCCTTTGGGATGAAACATCACAACATTCATGGCCTCTGTGATCTCAGTTCCGAAGTACCTACCCTTGGTGCTAGGCAATATTAGTTCTACAATACAATTATCGAGATTCATAGATGTAAAAAACATTTTTAAGAGACTAGTTTCATAAAATCATGTTGTATCTCCCATTCTTCCACACACTTATCTAGACTAAAGCTAAGTCTCTGAATATATATAATTTTGATAATAACAAATAAATCCATTTTAATGGAAAAGGAGCCCCAGGGAGACCAGAGATCCTGTACCTGGGGAAGTCTAGACTTCATTTAGGGCTTTATCACTGCAGGGAGGGCAAGACTGTATGGAAAATATTGTGGTTCAGGGACTGTAACACAGACTAAGACTTATTATGCTTCAGCAGATTTATTAAACATGTAAACAACCATGTTTACAAGTCCCCAGAACAAAAGTTCACAACTGACTCTAAATGATAATGTCCAGCTTCATTGCTCCAGAATATTTTGAGTATTTACTCACATGGAATGATTCGCACTGAGTATTCACATTTTCCATTAAGCATTCAATATACTTTACGCCCTTGGCTCCTGTCTATTGGGAATTTGTCATGAATAGGTTACAATGTATTGTATCATGAATCTCATATTGCAATACAATACTTCATTGTCATAAAACTACACCACTCACACTTCAATGCTGTTAGCATCGTTAGTTCAATCTGGTACAGAAACTCCTAAACTGTCACAAATCTACAACAGGCCTACAAAAGAAAACTTTCCCACTGTGCAGAAAAACCCACATTAATCGTGGAAATAGCAACATAAACACATTACCTCGCTACTGAAACAGTAAAAACGGCAACGAAAAACTATGAAACTGCAACATTTTTATACCAGCGAACTTTGACCTCTACTGCGCATGCGCATTACGATCCGGGCTTCTTTCCAATTTCCGAGCAACCGTGAATCGCCTCGCGTAGAAGAAGTATTAAATATGTCGAAATAACTGCTGTCAATCGTTTCATACGAATGGAAAGTAAACTAAAAAAGTGTGCACACACGTATCATGATGATAAATGCCAAATAACACAAAAGAAATACTTAAAAAGGAATGCAACTTTTGTCCAAAGTGGAAAATGTCAACATGCGGTAGAGACTTCCTCTTCCATGTGCGCATGCGCAAAATCAAAGTTGCAGGCTCATCGTTTTATGATGCAGTGTTAGCGATTTAAAGTTGCTGTTTTTACTTTTTCAGTAGCGAGGTATTATGTTTATGTTGCTATTTCCACGATTAATGTGGGCTTTTCTGCGTTTTTCTGCACAGAGGGAAAGTTTTCTTTGGTAGGCCTGTACAAGTGCCAGCGGATCATAATGTACTTGAAGACTGCATATTTAACTGCATATTGCATTTTTCAAATAATTATGCATGGAAATTAATTTCAGTAGGGCCAAATTATGTAGCACAGAAATTCTCTGCATACTGTGCCCTCAGTATGTTTCTTGCATCTGATTTCAATTTTTAAGCATTTACGATAGAGTATTTAGCATGCAGTATATCCAAGATGACTACATCCCCTCCAAAATGTTAGTTAGCTGGGCAGCTGGCTGTCATACAGGTTTGCAGATACCAGCCCGGTGAGATGAAGATGCCAGGTCACAAGGAGGGGGAATCTATACCCCTGACCTACAGCCGCTCCACTCCTACCTGACAGGTGTAAACAATCTACAGCTCGTTAAGGGGAGGTGTCAAAAGTTTCCAGCACAACTAATCTTTATAAATAAACAGAAGTTCAGTGGATGGTAGCCTGTCATCAGATTACCATGTATACTTTATGGAAGTGATCGAAACTCATATTTGACCACGGCCATGATAGGTGTGCGAGGGGTCTACAAAACTGCTGGTACTTTGGCCCGTGGCCAGCAAAAAGGGGAAAAGGCCTGATGATATTTAAAGGTCAGTAACCAGTAGGCATGGTATCCCTGTCCATTCTCACATAGACTATATATATGTATAACATATATATACATCGGTAGTTGTTTGAAGTCATGCCATTGTGGATCATGATATCACTGTATCAATCAACATTGAGTGAGTGAGTGTTTGGTATGGTTTTACACCACTATTAGCAATATCACAGTGGGGGACACCAGAATGGGCTTCACACATTGTCCTCATTTGGGGAATCGAACCCGGGTCTTCAGCATGACGAGCAAACACTGTAACCACTAGGCTACCCTACCGCCCCACATCAAATGTTGATGATGTATAGATATGGATAAATTTCGTTATTGATAAAAAATAAATGATAAATATAGATGTATCATTATGCTTTTTGAGTTGATGTATTGATAGTAAAATTTCCTACCTTTGACAGCCCAAGCATCAGGCGAGTGTGAAGTTTGAGAGGGTGTGATTTTAGCACTAGCCGACCATTTTGGACATTATATTTTTGGATATTTTGGAAATTATTTTTCTCAACAAAGGATCCAGGGTATGTGTATGGTCCCTGAAGTAACCCTACAGACTATTATTCCATTCTCAGGGTCACTAAAGTAGTAGACCCATGAAGATCCGGGTTAGAACTGGTCTTCAGCAACCCATGCTTGTCATAAGAGACGACTAACGGGATCACGTGGTCTGGCTCGCTGACTTGGTTGACACGGCATCATATCCAAATGTAGTAGATTTGTTCACGCTGTTGATCACTGTATTGTCTGGTCCTGACACAATTATTTACAAATGGTGGACTATTGCCAAGTGTCGCATTAAACAAAAAACCTAACCTCGGGATAGACACTGCTACTTGTGAATAAATACAAACGTAGCATGAATCTAGACACACTACTGAAATTATCACATTACTCATTTTTTAACCAATTACCACCATGTAATAGCGCCACTCAGCATCTTTGAGGAGATATAAGGCCCTCTACAAATGTACTATTATTACTTTTTACCCCCCAAAAAAGACACAAGATACCTTAATACTTTTAACATTAAAGTTATGCCAAGATAATTTCATGCTTAAGTCCAAACTCTTCATGGCATGGGCATATTCCATGGGCCAGTCACGGGCAGTGGAATAAGAAAACCCAAGTTTCCTAATATATTGAAACACTGTGATTTTATGCCTGTAAATTTCATAATTTATAAGACTACCCATTCATCAAAGAATATCTTCAGTATTCAGGGGTGGAAATCACTTTAAAATTGCTAGTGTACTCCGGTACTCTAGCACATGTAAAATCACTTGCCCTGATAATTTTTTCCACTATACCCACCGATTTTCTTGTTGATTTTTTTAAATAAACAACATAAGTAACATTTGAAAGTCAACTGGACACCGGTACAGTGTGATATACAAATTTGCTTGCCCGACAGAAAAAAAACACTCGACTGAGATGTCGGGCAGTGGGTTATTTCCACCCCTGCAGTATCAACTTTCAAAAACTTACCATATTTATATTAACCTAGCTTGGGAATTACCATAGTTACGATACTGCCTGTCAAGAAACACAACAATACGTCCTATTTTCTGATGATGCACAAGAAGAGCCAAAATTAATCTTTCATCTTAACTAAGCTGTTGACAGCAGCAACCTCATTCAGGAACATGGAGAACAAAGGCAACACAGAATATCATGAAAATATGGCACTAATTAAGTATTAGTGTTCATGCATCCAACTGCGACATAGTGAGTGAGTTCGATTTTACACCGCTCTTTGCAATAGTCCCGAAATATCACGACAGGAGACACCAGAAATTGGCTTCACACATTTTGCCCATCCGGGGAATCGAACACAGGTCTTCAGAATAACAAGCGAACGCTTTAACCACTAGGCTACCCCTAGGCTACCCCAACTGCGATACACATGGATGTGGTAAAGGTAGGAGATGAGGCAGAAGCAATACTCTGTTTAAGGAACTTGATTTAAACATAAATATTAAGTTGCATTTCTCAAAACTAGTTTTCACCTGTGCCTGTTTTATATACCTATATCGGAACATGCAGACACATTGTGATAAACTAGATCAAAGCAAATGTAAGCACCTCATCTCAATGTTTTTTAAAACACTAATTGTTTTTACACGTGAAAAGAAGGCAGAGTTTAGGTTTACACCTTTATTCCACATGTCGACCGTATAGTCATGGTCAAAATCTCTCAGGTCATGTTGCGAGCGTGATAATATACTCCAGCACATCACGTCGAACTCTCGCTCAGTCATCCAATCACACGCCTCCATTCGGCGCATACATAGGCTACTTAGCAGACGACGGTAAGATACCCATTCGTACAACAACACGCACTAACCAAGTTGATCATACCATGCCTTGTGCAAAGCCTAACCAAAGTGTTTTTGGTACCAATTTATGAATGTCTATCAGTATCCTTCTTGAATATATACCTACTACCACAAACAATTTGTACTTATGGTATTTATCTATGTCTATACTACCACTTTACTCATGAATAAAAGAGTCATTGTCCATGAAACATGAATGTCCATTCACCCCAGATGTCGGCCAATAGTGTCAGCTGAAGGATTAAAGTGGATCTAGTAGCTGGTTATCTGTCCTCCTTGTAATGATACACAAACAATACAATCACAATAGACGGTGTCTCAAGTGTTCAACTGACACATTTATTCCCATAGATCTCCATATAACACCCAAACCTTCAAAGCCTTAGGTATATTTTGGAATCAAAACTGGCCTTCTAGGTCCCACATAATCACACATAACTCACTGGTACCAATAGACTTATTTTTAAATATATAGCATGAAACACACACACACAAAACACACACCAACCTAACCACCTCATACTTCTGGAAAATTTCAAAATTCATACAAAAATTGAATATGCAACCCCAAAGCAATATTCAGGTTGCCATATCTTTCTGTCATATTCACCCCTCTTTCGATCAAACACTAAATGGCATGGCGGATCTGTTTGCGAATGTGCATCATGTTGGAAAATGCATGTTAAATCATCATCATAACATACCAAGGGGCCAAGAACATATTCTTGGTTGGTTGGTTGCTTTGTTTAACGCCACATATTACAGCAATATCGCATTGGTCTGTAAACTAATCAAGTCTGGAGCAGACAATCCAGTGATCAACATCATGAGCATCTATCTAAGCAATTGGCTTACAATGACGTGTGTCAACCAAGTCAGTGAGTCCTACCACCCAATCCTGTTTGTCGCCTCTTACAACAAGCATGGGATGCTGAAGACCAATACTAACACAGATCTTCACAGGTACTTGAAAGAGTTATATAATTAACAAGACAAAAATGTCTACAATGTTTACAGTTCTATTAGTTTTATTCAATATGTAAAAAATTGAAGTAATGAAAACTGGTTCAGAATAGCAGCCATCAAATGCTGCTTCTCTTTGAGGACCACATCACTGCATTCCACGGCACAATAAGCTGTCACAGGCAAGTGAACTGGCATGAATTTCAAAGGGTAATGTGTTTTAGGTTGCTATTTCCAATGCTACCATCCCTACAGCAAGGTGAGTTTTCCTGCTGATTGTGTGTGTAATGAAAAGGAATGTCTGTGTCACTGTCACGATTGTAGTTTGATTTGGGAACAATCCTCCCTGAACAAAACCACATGCGTAATCCCAAACAGCGAACCTTCCCTTTTCTACCTCGGTAAACAAATAAAGACTTACAGCAGCTAAAGCTCACACCTGCATTTAGTCATGGATGAACGAACACAGACTCATATTTGTTTATGAATCATGTTCTCTCAAGTTACTACAATCAATAGATACACTAATTCCATCTAAACAAAGTGTAAACATAAACATGTTGAAAAGACAAGTCCTAAAGCCCTAATACTAAATGTACTTTACCATGTCGCAGGGCATTGTCTTTGGTCAAAGTTTCACAAATTACGTCATAAGGTATTGTGATGTAATTTTGTAAAGTGCTGAATTCTAAAGGTAGGCCACTAATTGCTGTTGCTAACATCTTGTTCCAATCATTTCAAGTAGGAATGAATAGTCAGCATCAATTAACAATACATGGCGTATAAAATATAATACATGCTTTGTTCTGAAATATCTAAAAAATATACTTTGCAAATAAAACAATCTAAAAACTATACAATGCAAAATAAAAGACATAATGTTTATCTTTAGTTTAACATCCTTCCCAAGTGAAACAGGACACAGCATAAATTTAGACATGCCTCACAAAATATCCTTCACCATGCTGACAGAAACAAAATACGAAATGAATTATTTAAATGAATGAGAACTACCAAGAATTCTATCAAAGACCAATTTCTGCCCAAATTACTAACACCCCCAGGTAAGGGGAGTTCAGTGTCCGTTTCCGGTACTTCACGATTGCCTGTCAAATGTGATTATCAACACAATACACCGGTCTCAGTCTCACTCTCAGCTGTTGATATCGACCAACCACCTAAACTATCAACAATCTTTTCACTTCGCTTTGTCAAGGAAACTGCACTTAGAGCCATACTCCATTGCTTAACCGGTCATCCAACTGTTCAACGGAAACAGGCCGATACAAAATTGCATGTGGCTTTTAAGTAAACTTCTCTATCATCGAATATTTTCATTTCTGTCATTTTTTTCACCCGGCCAAACTACATTCGAAGCTCATTTTCATAATTTAAAAACACATCAAAACTCATGAATTTGTAAGATTTGGTCACCACTAATGCATAAATGGATAGTGATTTGAGAGATCGGTCTGATTATTCGACTTTGCCACGCCAAGTCACAGAATCGGCGAACCCTAGTTGGGATGAAGCCGAAGTCTGTCAGAAATCTGTTATTCCCGATGGAACCTGATCGTTTACTGTTCACTTCGTCCTCATAATCCAACAAGAAAACTTAAAACATTCTTACCTATAAAGAGCTCTTCTACGGTAATCCTTGTGTTATCAACAAAGCTTCGAACAAAGTTATAGGAGGGCGATTTCAATGATTCAACGGAGACCAAGCCCAACAGTGACTAAATATGGCGAGCGCACTAACTGATGACGTCACAGGAAACGGGGGAATTCTCTCCTGCTTGCATGGTGCGCGAAATTCAACAGGAGGGGATTCCCTTGAGGAAATGCAACAGAGCGTAACGGGAAACCCCGTGTAATGTCTGACTTGTCACACGGAGCTGCTATCAAATGTATGTGTTAAAGTGTCCGACCATTGATGTTACCCAGAATAGGATTTACCGTTTTTACTGTAATAAGAGTTGAAGAGTTTTTAAAGAGATTTCTATGGGCCAAAGAGATCCGGAATTATGAGGTCCGAGTATTATTACTTCATGTATTACCCATCGTCATTGTTAGAAAGAAAATGAAGAATGTCAGTACAGCAGACGGACACCAGTGATATCCCCTCTGTTGTAATGCAATCCAATATGTGACCCCATAAACAATGGATGACGCGATAACGTTATGATCTAACAATGGAGCATTGTGACGTCATACGCTCTATCCGACCATTCAGTTCAGGGAACAGCTTAAATGCACAGGTGCAAATATCAGAAAACTAGCACTTTTTTGTTGTATGAAATTCAAAATGCATGCATGTTTGCCAATTGTGTTGAAGCAGAGACAATATAATACAGAGATATAGTCTCTGGCATGGGCGGATCAAGGAATTTTGAAGGGGGGGGGGGTCAGAACCCCCTGAACCCACCCCTTGGCTCCGCCAAAGCAAATTAACATCATCAATGTGGCCGTAAGTCATTTTCAACCCCCTGAACAAACAAACAAACAAACAAACACACACACACACACACACACATACACACACACACACACACACACACATACCGCCCATTTCTGGTTGAAGCAACATGAAAACTACTTTTTTTATAGTTCCTGTTCTCTTTCAGTGAGTGAGTGAGTATATGGTTTTTTGTCGCTTTTAGCAATATTCCAGGCATATCACGCCGGGGGACACCAGAAATGGGCTTCATACATTCTATCCATGTAGAGAATCAAGCCCGGGCTTTCGGCCTGACGAGTGAACTTGTTAACCACTTTACCCACCCCATCGCCCTGTTCTCTTTCAGACTTGTGTGCATGTAATAAACTGAATTTGAATAAAACTCTTTCTACAAGTACATATTCTTGTCATATTATGAATAGCGATATTATTTTCCCTCGGGAGGGACCAGTGATCTAAGGGACCGCATTTTAATGTGCTGGATTGCGTCCCTTTGGTGTGACAGAACCCTATGATCATGGGTTCGAATCCCGCTCCTTCCTGATTATGTTTCAATGTTTGTCAGCAGACAGAACACAATACCCATGCTCGAACGTATAAATTCGGCATCACCTTCGGCTTTCCTTCCAAACCAAACTGACTCACCCACCCACCCACCTAGACTAACAGCTAGTCCCTGAAATGAACATATCTTGCATCAAAAATGTTTTTAAATTAAAATAACATATAAATAAAGGAGCCCAAAGACTTTCTTCATTTTCAGAAACTGAGGAAATCTAGCTTTGCCACACATTTTAGACTTGTATGGGCTACATTGGGTATATTTGTTTCTGGGTCTGTACGACAGGCTTACCACTCACCCGCTCACTCACTTTTGAAATGAACACCACCGGGCCTGCATTCCCCATGTCTGTGAGCCGACTGACTTTATGAGCGACACTGCACTGGTTACAAGAAAGATGGTTTGTAACACTGTGTATATTTTGTTAATGATGACACCTAGGATATATATGTCCGTGTGCATAGGCGTCTACACGGAAGGGTGGTTACATGATGATAAAATTATTGAAACAGGAACTGATTCAAGATATGAACAGACACGGTGTTGTTCGCATTATGACCGACCCGTGAAGATCCGGGTTAGAATTGATCTTCATTAACCCAGGCTTGTCGTAAGAGGTGACTAACGGGATCGGGTGGTCAGGCTCGCAGACTTGGTTAACACATGTCTTCGTATCCCAATTGTGCAAATCGATGCTCATGCTGTTGATCACTGGATTGTTTGGTCCAGACTCTATTATTTACAGTCCGCAGCCATATAGATGGAATATTGCTGAGTGCGACGTAAAACTAAACTCACTCAGTCACTCGCATTATGACAGTTTTGTTACTGATAAATCATTCTAGACACCGCAAGCTGTACGAGCAATACAGCTACTTCAGGCATGAAATTACGCCGAAGACCCGGGTTCGATTCCCCACATGGGTTCAGTGTGTGAAGTACATTTCTGGTGTCCCCCACCGTGATATAGCTGGAATATTGCTAAAAGCGGCGTAAAAGCATACTCACTCGCTCAGTCATTTCCTGACAAATTCAAAGACACTTGTCCGAGAGAAAACGCCCGAGGTGGTGACTTGTGTCAGCGGGCAATGGTAACCTGGTCTCCACAAGCTCTTTGTTGAGAATACGCATCTGACCAAACTGCATATCCATATACTGTATTTTGTACGAGGCGAATAAATGATCAATAACGTCTTCGATTGTGCGTCTGTATATCCCAAATGTGTGTGATCATGTCATTCTGATCCAGATTCAATTATTTCAAACTGTTGTTAACTGGAATACTGCTGACCGTGGCTATGAACAAATTAACAGTGACTGACTGACTGAGTTTAGTTTTACGCCGCTTTTAGCAATATTCCAGCAATATCACGGCGGGGACACCAGAAATGGGCTTAACACATTGTGCCCATGTGGGGAATCGAACCCGGGTCTTCGGCGTGACGAGCCAACGCTTTAACCACTAGGCTACCCCACCGCCCCAAATTAACAGTGAAGATATAGCCGGAACGAGAGGCATAAACTCGCTACATCTAATCAGAAAAACAAAGGTGAGCTTCTGTCCCGAAGGTCGTGTCTGTTCTGCTGGTTACCCTGACATAGCTCCACACAGCACCAGGAACAACACAGAAACGTCTACCATCTTTGTTGCTTCTCATCTGCAATCTGATCAATGTCTCCCAAATGTCTCTCAAGCAGTTAATTGTGGTCGGACTGGCATTGACTGTTGACAAGTACACTTTGACAAACACTGCATATCGAGACAAGGCGTCTATCCTCTCCTAAACGAAGTGAAACTAACAACGACCAAGAAACAAGACAACTGGGACTAGATTTTCGAAGCTCTCTTAGCGCTAAGATAGTCGTAAGTGCCATACCTTACATTAACTTACGACTATCTTAGCTCTAAGAGAGCTTCGACAATCTAGGCCCTGAAAGCCTGTGTACTTCCTATACAACACTTAGGTCACTATGACAAAGGAACCAGATTTTAGCGAAGCTTCATTTGTGAAAATTTAACATGACTGGTTGGCTGTCTGTCTCTATAATACATGGATACATGTCCATACATCAGTTCATCACTGTGAATTCCATGGATCCATCAGTCTTACCCGTGAAGGTCCGGGTTAGAATATTGATCTTCAGTAACCCATGCTTGTCGTAAGAGGCGACTGACGGGATCGGGTGGTCAGGCTCGCTGACTTGGTTGACACATGCCATCGGTTCACATTTGCGCACATCGATGCTCATGCTGTTGATCACTGGGTTGTCGGGTCCAGACTCGATTATTTACAGACCGCCGCCATATAGCTGGAATATTGCTGAGTGCGGCGTAAAACTACACTCACTCACTCCTAATTCAGCCTGTCTTTGATTTAGCTATGATGGCGGACATCGAGGTATTTTGGCAAGGATTAGAAAATAATCTTTTTTAGCAAAAATCATGTGTCAGCCCGGGCCTTTTTCATAATGGTGGCTACGCCCCTGCCATTGGCATTTTTGCGAACAGTAGTTAAAATAAAGGACACGAGTTGTGCAGCTGATTCTGCTCCTAATAATTGTTTGTCGAATTCACAGACCTGCCTATTGACCCCAGTAATATTTGTTTATATATCCATAGACCTGCCTATTGACCCCAGTAGTATTTGTTTATATATCCATAGACCTGCCTATTGACCCCAGTAATATTTGTTTATATGCCCACAGACCTGCCTATTGACCCCAGTAATATTTGTTTATATGCCCACAGACCTGCCTATTTATCCATAGACATGCCAAATGACCCCAGTAATATTTGTTTATATGACCATAGACCTGAATATCAATCCCAGTAATATTTGTTTATATGTCCACAGACCTGCCCTTTTATCCATAGACCTGCCTATCGACCCAGGTAATATTTGTTTATATGACCATAGACCTCCCTATCGACCCAGTAATATTTGTTTATATGTCCACAGACCTGCCCATATATCCATAGACCTGCCTATTGACCCCAGTAATATTTGTTTATATGTCCACAGACCTGCCCATATATCCATAGACCTGCCTATCGACCCCAGTAATATTTGTTTATATGTCCACAGACCTGCCCATATATCCATAGACCTGCCTATTGACCCCAGTAATATTTGTTTATATGTCCACAGACCTGCCCATATATCCATAGACCTATAGACCCAAGTAATATTTGTTTATATGTCCACAGACCTGCCCATATATCCATAGACCTGCCTATCAATCCCAGTAATATTTGTTTATATGTCCACAGACCTGCCCATATATCCATAGACCTGCCTATCGACCCCAGTAATATTTGTTTATATGACCATGTCCACAGACCTGCCCATTTATCCATGTCCAGACCTGCCCATATATCGACCCCTAGTAATATTTGTTTATATGTCCACAGACCTGCCCATATATCCATAGACCTGCCTATCGACCCCAGTAATATTTGTTTATATGTCCACAGACCTGCCCATTTATCCATAGACCTGCCTATCGACCCCAGTAATATTTGTTTATATGTCCACAGACCTGCCCATTTATCCATAGACCTGCCTATCGACCCCAGTAATATTTGTTTATATGACCATAGACCTGCCTATCTATCCATGACCTGCTAATCGACCCCAGTAATGTTGTATATATGTCCACAGACCTGCCCATATATCCATAGACCTATTTGTTCCCAGTAATATTTGTTTATATGTCCACAGACCTGCCCATTTATCCATAGACCTGCCTAGTTATCCCCAGTAATATTTGTTTATATGTCCACAGACCTGCCCATCTGTCCCTTTAATATTTGTTGTATGTCCACAGACCTGTCAATTATCCATGTAATATTTGTTAGATGTCCATAGACCTGCATATTTATCCTTGTGGGATTTATGTATGTGTCCACACCTGCCAAATTATCTCCATAATGTTTGTGTGTCCATAGTCCTGCCAAATTATCCCTTTACTAATGTTTATATGTCCATAGACCAATTATCCATGTAATATTTGTTAAAATGCCCACAGACCTGCCAATTATCCATGTAATATTTGTTTATATGTCCATAGACCTGCCAATTATCCATGTAATATATCTATCCATAGACCTGCATATCCATTAGTGTTGGGATTTGGTTGAAATCTCACAATTGATGATTGCTTCATTACCAACGAACAATCAATCGAAAAAAATTGGTTAGCATCATTTTTCAGATTTTCCTATCCAGGTTGTTATAGCAGATATGTATAACATGATGGAACTTGCTAATTTAAAGTGATGACTTATATATCATGAATATAAACTTCCTGGAGTCTTCAAGAAATATTCAGTCATGGCTTTTCAGTTAGTGAAGTGAGTTTTCTAAGAATTAAACACGTATTCAGGCACTGACAACTTCAACGATATGTTCCATTGTCAAGTATTTCAAAGACTAAATAAAGTAGTTCAAAAATCGTTTATGTTCGATTATGAGAAAATGTGATCTATTGATTGGTAGTTTGGTCACTGCGACCAATCTTCGATTATTTTAATTAATCAGAACACCACTAATATCCATCCTTGTGGGATATGTGTATGTGTCCACACCTGCCAAATTATTTCCATAATGTTTGCGTGTCCATAGACCTGCCAAATTATCCCTTTATTAATGACGTATTTGAATATGTTGACAGACCTTAAATCAACCTCTTGTCAGCTGAAATATAACATGAGCTGAAACACCACACACATGAGAGCATCAGTTTAATACGGTATGAAGCCTGAGATCTTACACGACTAAATAAGATAAAACAAACACATTTTTCATGATTTATTAATATTCATAATTTTTTAGACTTTCACAAGGAAACAATCACTTGGACAATATTAAGTTTTAACATACATACCACTCAAAAGAAAAATAGAGATATCATGGAACATTCACTAATTTGAAGGGTTTGTAAACTTTTTTTTATGAAGTTTATATTAACATATCAGGGCTCCAGATAATTTTTCAACGTAACGAGTACTGAACTCCTTATTTTTCAATACAGATAAAACCTTAAGAGTTCATTTAGAGTACTGAAGGAATTTAATGGAGTATCAGTAATCTTGTGTTTCGCTTCATATATGCACTTGCTCTCTTGTGTAAACACGTCAATGAACAATAAAAGTTAAAACAATACTTTGTCAGATAAATACGAAATGATTGTAAGACCGTACACAATTGCTACTTTCAAAATTATTTCATACCGTTCGTGCATATTTTTATCCATATATACGCTGATATGGCCCTTGGAGCCTAGCTCAACATTGTCCCCCACACAGATATATACAAGGGTTTTATAAGACTCTCTTGTGCCAAGATAACTGAAGACACACCACTTTCAATCATTTTCTATCACAGTGTTGCTCTTTATATCATATCAAACAAATGCATTCAATTTTGCAAATATGTACATATATATTTCTTTATTACATATACTTGATTTATCTGGCTTATTAATTCAATAACTATAATATTACCAGTTTAAGCATATAGTTTTCCCTTCTTTCAGTAATACGGAAATCCCAAAATGGAAGGGAAGTAACTCTTCAACAGTCATATATATAGTTGTCAATACTGAAATAATCCAGAGATCGTTTGTTTTCAGGACGTTTTTCATTTAACATTTCACCCTACTGAACATACTTGCAAGAGATTACTATTTGAAGTTAAACTTATTTGTGCTCATATTCAACATCCTTCCTCAACCAAACTTTACAACTGACTGTTGTATTTCCAGTCAACTAATTACTGAATTTTAACGTATTATTTAAAAATAAATATCACGAACACTACTGAATGATGAATATTTTTTTCAAAAGGCCATATTTGAATTACCAGTATATAAATCATTTATGGATTATTTTGACCTAAATGAATAGTGATAAACTCACCAGGGTAATAATGTCTTACGACCTTGAGAATGCACAAGTGCATGGATACAGGTGTTTATAAAAGTCCATTATCGTTGTAATCATCATCATCATCATCATCCTCATCCTAAATCCTCCTCATCCTCCTACATCCTCTTCCTCATCATCATCATTATTTAAACACAGCTCTAATGTTACTCCAAACTTCAGCCCAGTTAATTCTCTCGTGAGATACCTGGTAGTGAGAATGGTGCCATTTAAAATTTGAATCGTATATAACTTCCGTATCCTCCGGGGAGTCAGGTAGATATTTCTGCCAGTTGTCATAGATACGGCGAATGTCCCGGTCAGCATCGTACCGCACTAGCTGTTTGTCCAGGAAAGGGACAATCATGTTGAATTTGTCCACCTTGAAATTTACATCTGTGATGATGCCTCGGTGTCTGGACGTTTGTAACTTCCACTTTTTGGCATCCTCCGAATCAAAGGGCGGACAACCCATCTTGCTCCTCAAGACAGCCAGTTTTGTCCTTGCCTCTGTGATATCTTTCCTACAAACAGAACAATGAATTGTGTCAGCAAAATGATTATATAATATATGAGCTCAAACAATTTCTAATATTCTCTGTAAGTCACCATCAAGCTTAAAATAAAGTTGAAAACTAAATTTCCAACTTGAACATGTATACAGTGTAATAGCAAGATTAATTGCATAATTCAGTAGAGATCTGTTCATATACTATGTCCACTGATGTGAAGATGTTGATTGGTTTACACCGCACCCAGCAATATTCCAGCTATATGGCGGCAGTCTGTATATAATCAAATAATTGGGTTTGGACCAGACAATCCAGTGATCAACAGCATGAGCATGTACACAACTGGGATATGATGACCTGTGTCAACCAAGTCAGTGAGCCTGACCACCCGATCCCCTTAGTCGGCTCTTACGACAAGCATGGGTTACTGAAGACCAATTCTAACCCAGATCTTCACAGGTTGATGTGAAGATGTGTATTTGCGAGGAAAATAATATACTTTATGTGAACCTTTGATTATGGCATTATCGCTTAAGGCAACTTGTATTTCTTTTGTGTCCATACTTTGCGTATTCAGTTTTTAGGCCTAAATGAAATCCTCAGAAATATAACTTCATTAAACAGAAATTGGCATTTATTCAAAAATGCAAACAGTCTCAATTTTTTCGCATTTGAGTGTCAATGGCTTGTTTATAATTGTAATGGAAAGGTATAAATCAGTTCACGGTACTGGAAAGCAACATTAGATATCATGTGGAAGCCGCGGTGGCTGAGCGGTCCAGGCGTCTGACTTTGTGTGCTGGCGATTAGGTGCCTGAATCTGAGGGTGTGGGTTCGAATCCCGGATGGGACTCAACCCAAAAAGTACTCAAATCCTGGATGGGACTCAACCCCAAAAGTACTAGAATCTGTACTTTACTGAGAAAGTGTAATCCCAAATATAACATATGCTACATTTGACCACTTTCTTAAATGGCATTGTGTATTTCATTAGATATCGCATCTATTTAACAGGGTCGGTGGGGTAGCCTAATGGTTAAAGCGTTGGCTAGTCACGCCGAAGACCCGGGTTTGAATTCCCACATGGGCACAATGTGTTAAGCCCATTTCTGGTGTCCCCCGCCGTGATGTTGCTGGAATATTGCTAAAAGCGGCGTAAAACCAAACTCAGTCGGTCAGTCTATTTAACAAAAATGTTTTTCAAATTAATTTACACTATTTCACATAGAGAATGGATGTTTGTTTGTTATAGCTGTTTAACGCCACACCCAGCAATATTCCAGATATATGGCCGTGATCTGAAAATAACTGAGTCTGGACCAGACAATCCAGTGATCAACAGCATGAACACTGATCTACGTCGTGGGGATACCATAACGTGTGTCAGGGAAGACAGTATGCCTGACTATCCGATCACGTCAGTGAAGACCAATTCTAACCCGGATCTTCACACAGTGCAGAATGGATGAACTACTGAAGACATTATTATACTTCAGATTTAATTACTATGTTTTTTATAAATTCTTATATGAACAGGGTTATTCAAGTAGTATAAACAGAGCAAGGAAGATCAAATTTACGCCTCAGCTTTTTTCATTTATGCATGGAACACAGGTTCCTTCAGTCAAATTTCCTGATTAGGGGTTGCGGTAACCTTGGCTATACCACATGAAGTGGTGTTCAACTGACCTAAACTTAAACCGAACACCTTCTCACACTATACCCTGTGGTCTAATATAATTAGCTGTGAATGTTTTGCCACAGACACTAATTTATGTCAAAACTTAAATTTTGACAACCACAATCAGTTTGAAATTCCTTGTATTGTAATAAACTGTAACCATGCCAACGGATGGATTTAAATCAGTTACCAGTGCCTGGCAGAGCATGCTCATAATTATTAATTATAATAATATTATTATTTTTATTTATAAAAATATTTATTGGATGGAGTTAGTGATGAATATATACTTCCTTCCAAAAGTTTAGACTCACTTGTGTAAATATAGCCACTTACTTCAGGCAACTAAATTTTCTAAACTAAATTTTGCAAAACATTTCAAACTGTTTAAAGGTAACTGTTTACACAAATTCAATAAATGATAAATATCAGTGAAAACTGGCAAATGCTTAAAACAACTTTACACCAAAACGCAGTTGTTCACATGCACGATATTTGCACATGCCTTTCAGCAATTTGATGCATGATCCTCATTCAGTTCATCTGCATAAGGTTTGCAGATGGTTCACCCAAGTTAGTGGAGAAATCAATCTTCGATGTAACTATATATATATATACATAACATATAGGGAGTGTTTTAAGTGAGTCTAAACTTTTGAAAGGAAGTATATTATTGGATTAAAGAGTACCTGATCTCGCCCTGCAGCGTGATCCACTCGGGGGCGTACCCGTTGTTGATGAGGATCTTGTTCAGGTTGTGTGTGTCTATGTCCAGCAGCGGGTTGCGATTCTCATACACCAGGGGCTTCCCCTTCAAGGCTAGGTTGTCAAAGTCACCGTTCTTCATTGAGTCTGTAATCATGTCTTCTACCAGGCGTTCTATGGCGTTGCTGAGTGCAGAATAAAATATAATAAATAAAAACAATTTCCAAGGCAAAACACACTGAACAAGGATAGTTATAGATAATGTGAGTAAGTGAGTTTAGTTTTATGCCGCTTTTAGTAATATTCCATCAATATCATGGCGGGGGACACCAGAAATGTGCTTCATCCATTGCACCCATGTGGGGAATCGAACCTAGGTCTTCGGCGTAACAAGTGAACGCTTTAACCACTAGGCTACCCGACCGTCCCTTGTTATGAATAATAGATTTTTTTTAACAAATTGTGTGCTTAGTCTTCACTAATGGGTATGGGTACCCGGTAGGTTGAGATGGAAACGAGTGTGTTAACCATCTATCACCTCACAGGCAGTATTGGTTGTATACTTCCCATGGAGCTGAGGAGGAAACATGAAGTGCATGTTAATCTATTTACTGGAAAATATCCAAGTACAACTTCAAGCTAAACAATCAGATCATCATCATCATCATCATCATCATCATCATCATCATCATCATCAGGTGGTGGTAGGTTAGTGTAGTGGTTAAAGCATTTGCTTGTCACACCGAAAACCTGGGTTCAATTCCACACATGTGTACAATGTGTGAAGCCCATTTCTGGTGTCCCCCGCAGTGATGTTGCTGGAATATTACTAAAAGCAGCGTAAAATTTACTCACTCACTCACTCATCATCATCATCATCATCATCATCATCATCATCATCATCATCATCATCATCATCATCATCATCATCATCATCATCATCATCATCATCATCATGTCTCTGACTGACCTTATCTTGGCTTTCTTGGCTTCAATCTTGTCCTTCACGACGACAGCAGATTCTTCCTCATTGGCTAGACGCTGAACACGGTAGTCAAGGACGTTGTCAGATGCCTTGGCAACACGATATTGCTGATATATTCTCTGTCTCTGTATTGGGGTTCCTGATCCAATGCCTTCAAAACTCAGATACTGACGATGCTGTGGTGCTGTGTGTTTGATGTCAAAGATAATTTTGTCAATTTCCTCCTCTGCTTCTTCCTTCTCAGAATCTTCACCTTCCTTCCTTTGTTCCTTGAGAAAAACAAATGAGAGAGTTTGTTCAAATCTAAGTTTGCAGTTTCACAGCCACAAGATATTGCAGTGAGTGAGTGAGTGAGTGAGAATTTATTTTCACCGCTTTTAGCAATATTCCATCAAAATCACAACGGTAAAAGATATTGCAGGCTGTTTTACTTCACTCTGTTAAGCTATTATAACTAGTGGATTAGGCTGAACCTTTGTTTCACTTAGATTATGAAAGTGTTAATTCCAAAAATATCAAAGGTGACAAATTAAAGGCAGTGGGTTTTTGGTCGTTTTTGTTTTCACTGACCGCCGTGATGTTGCTGGAATATTGCTTAAAGCGGCACAAAACAAAACTCAGTCAGTCAGTTTTCACTGACCAGGAAAGAAGTCACAATCAGCATAAACAAATTATATCAAATATTATGTGACAACTAATAATGACGAATCATGACAGATATATTGATGAATATTTTTTAGCAGAGAGGCAGTAAGCCTCAGAATATTTAATGTTCATCAACTTGTGTGGATATTAGTGCTGGTATTGGCATACAACCTGAGATACTATACATCATGATACTAAAATTTTAGTCACGATATATGTTGCCAGAGTATTGTGCACTTCAGCTGCAATATGATACAAATCCCGATACAAGGGTGGCGATATGATACATATCACGATACTAAAATCTTTAATTCTAACACCAACTATAAAACACCTTAAGATAAAAACAAAACTATTTAAAAGTATATCGTCAAATTCCGCCAGCATTTTTCAATGTTCATTCGGAAATGAGACAATCAAGTTTATACACAGACCTTGTGAATGTTAATAAAATGCGATCGCTATGTTTGACACAGTTCCTGACGCGAGAATTTCTAAGAATCTTATGAAGGGAATTAAGTATGCATATATCTTAATCATTAAACAAAAGTAAGTCTTTCTTATCAGATATTGCGATTCGGCAATATTCAAAGTAAAACATCTATGTATACAAGGTTTTACACTGTCGTACATGGCCTATTTGAAGTATCGTATCGGGATATACGACAGTGTAAAACCTTGTATGATTCACTGTATCGGCAGCCCATGGATCGATGCGTATCGATGAATTGTCACACCACTAAAGTACTGTCGGAAATAGAAAAAAACTGTTTTTTCACATTCATATCTACAATTTATGTAGTTAACATATGAAAATGTGAAATATCTGTTAAACAATGTTCGGCCTAAGTACAGTCTCAGTGGTAGGGAGATAGGAAACGTATAGAAAGGACTTTACTGAGGAGAGATTAGTGCAGAAATGAGCAATGTGGGGTTTTTTCTAAGTCCAAAGCGACTTATTTGGAACAGACCATGGCTTTATTCAACTTAATGTGCGATGATATTGTATTACAAAGAACACTTTCTACATGCCCATTTTGTATTTAAACTCAGCTTCATTATACACGATAGCTGACATAAAAAATAATAACTTTAACACTGAAACTATAAGGGTGGAGCTGCCAGGGAGTCTCACTATCACTGAAAAACAACAACAAACCACTGGCTTGTTGATGAAAATGACGTAAGGGGAGGTAACTCCTACCAGTATGGCCTTGTAAGCTTCCTTCACTTGTGAAAACTTCTTGGGGTCTGCTGTTGTTGATCCACTATCAGGATGGTACAGCTTGGCAAATTTTATGTACGCTTCTCTCACTTCAGCCAATGTAGCATCTTCTGAAATATTCAGCAGGGAGAAGCAGTCGTTCAGGTTGTTCTCCAGTTTGTACCCAACGCCTAGACTGGAAGATGTCGAAAACTGACAGTGTCGGACATATCTGGCACTGACACAGAAGATGAATGAGTCCAAGTTTCCATGGTTACATTGTCTGTTCAGGGTAGAATTGACCAATGTCCAGTGTTCACCTTGCAAGAGCCTGGCATACAAACACAGAGGGAGAGACACAGACCGGCGCAACATATTGTCCCGTACGTCACATTTCACCTGGAAAATATTACCTCTATTACTGCTATGAATATGAACATATCTGAAAATATTATTTGGACACAGACCAGGTAGCCTTGTGAAGGTGCAAAATCAGATTTCATATGTGACAGTTAGCAACAATCATAGATGCAGTGTTTGGAATTGATATAAAATATTCATAATCTTATGGTATCCCAGTGGGCTAGCACTATAAACATTAATTGTGGTAAAGTCAGAATTCATGTGTAATGGAACTCCTATGCTGTTTTTAGCAATATTCCTGTAGGTGGAAGCCATGGTGTCTGAGTGGGTTAGATGGCTGACTTTGTGTGCTACTTTAATGAGAAAGTATAATCCCAAATATAACATATGTTAAATATTCCTGCAATATTACAGTAGGGTTGAATCAGTGTGAGGAATCGAGCCCAGGCATTTTTCACCATAGGATAATAATAAGAAAACAACTGAGTTTACATGAAAATGAAAATAGATGTTTTGTGCATTGTGAAAATACATACTTCCCTTTATATATTTCTATGCTGAGGTGACCCATGAAGCACAGGCCCCCACTTCGGGTCAGAAAATCGATAAACTGAGCCCTGGTTTACTATCCAGCCCCCCTACTGTATGTTCAGCAGTGGGGGCCCGTGCCATGAAGGTCCAGGTTAAGCTGATCTTCAGTAACCCATGTTTGTCATAAGAGGACACTAACGGGATCGGGTAGTCAGACTCGCTGACTTGGTTGACACATGTCACTATCATACCCCAAATTGCATAGATTGATGCTCATGCTGTTGATAACAGGACTGTCTGGCCCAGTCTCGATTATTTTTGCAGACCGCCGCCATATAGATGGAATATTGCTGACAGCGGCGTAAAACTAAAGTCACTCACACACTATGATGAGGTACATTTGTGTTTCATATATGTACCTGAAGTATTGTGTTGACAACAACCACAACAATGGGAAGACTATTTGGAGGTATTTGCACACCAAGGAGTAGGAGGAGATATATGTTTCAGGACAATTAACCAATAACTCCGCCTTAGCCTCAGAGATCCGTGCGCAAACCTTACGTAAGGGTTGTCCTTTTCTACATAACACTTCTCTCCCCTCTCTTACTGACACTTGTCACACCACGACCGTGAAGCACAGTGAAGTTCTGTTGCTTTTCAGTGACACTGTGAAAACACAACAAACTTTAGTCTGTGTCATCATTCCCGCTAGAGTGACATCATGGGATATTTAAAAGGTCACATAGATATCATTCAGTCATTCATTTTCAACTTCAAGATCTCTACTCTACGACAGACAGCTGGCTTAGTTCATGATATTTCGCCGGAAGACACCGACGATAATGCACAATCGTCACAACGATAAGAAAAAAAGTTACCGTTTTAAAGACACACGTGAAGATTAATCGCGTTATCGTGTAAAGAAAGAATATAACACTAAACTAAAGCAAGATCAACAACTTTCTACCTGTTTCCGGTTACAAAAAGGTCAAGGTCATGGACCCGGAAATGGAATTAGTGAAAATTGGAATGTTCGTCAAACGGAAAATGAATGATAACATATTAAAAAACATTATCACGTGCTCATAACAAATGTGAAATCAAATAGACTGATTAATGATCACTGCAACTGTAAGTGCGTCCCGCCTTTCAACCTTCGGTTACGTACGTGTTCTTTTCCCGCTCATTTCTTTCAGTAGTTTCCACACAACTTATAAAAAAAATCAATACTAGCATTTGTGTTTCTAAATTATACACTTGGAACAGCTTGCAATATATTGATCTCCTCAGAACCACAATCAACCTCGACGTCGAGATAAACGGCGGAGCTGAAGCCTTTGATTTGCCAATTTGGGAAATATTAAACCACGGACATAGTGCTTGTCAATCTTGTGGCTAAAGATCCATGTCAAATGCTACACCACAGTTCCGCCTGATTACAGAGAGTGTATAAAGTTTCCTCCTGACAGCTCACAATGTGGCCGTGGCGGGATATCTAGCTGATTACAGAAGAGGACAGCATGTAATCGTAGCTTGATACTGTAAACTGTTTGTCGATAACTAGCCTGTAAATCAGCAGTCTTGGGTAAATTGAACGCCTATACCAGCCACAAAAACAGAAGTGTATTCTTAATTTTTTTCTAAATTTGGAAATATAGCAACAATGATTGTTTGTTGGTTTGTTGTTGTTAAAGCCGCACCTCACCAATTATCCAGCTATATAGCGGCGGTGGTAACAACAACAGTGAAATGTTTCCATGTAAACTTTAATAGGAGATTGAGACCATACGAAGACGACACAACAACATGTTTAATGTCAATGACGTTGACGTTACAAGTCCACATGTGGGACAGGGTTCAAGGTAGACTAACATCTCTGAAATGAACATATTTTAAAGAAAGAACAGTTCCTACATTATAATCATAAAATGTAATAAAAAGGAGCCCAGAGACTTTCTTCATTTTCAAAAATTGAAACTGTGGAAATCTAGACTTGCCACATATTCTAGACTTGCATGGGCTTTCTTGTATATATTTGTTTCAGGGTCTGTATGACAGACTCTGGGTTCAAGCAACATTATCTTACCTCACACATAAATGTCGCTTTCTGATTGGCTGAGAGCTCTTCTATTATTTTCAATGTACCCCGCTTACAAGCGAGTAACATTTCAATGTACCCCGCTGTCAAATGGCAACTCATTCTGTACTTCGTGGTAGTAATTCTTTATCTCGAATGACATTGAATCACGTATGATGTACGGAAATAACCGATGTTTTGCGAATGCAAATCGATGGAAGGGAGATAACTCTAAATCTGTTTTTCTTGTCGGCAAATCTAGCGATGACCTATTAAAAAGTACCCGTGCTTCAAACAATTCAAAATTAACATTAAGGTGTTCGGTAAGATAAATACGTTGTTCACTGGTCCCTCGGGGCCCATGGGTTGATGTACCCTCGATGTTTGATGTACCCATTATAAGTTGTTCACTGGTCACGAGGGGGTTGATGTACCCTTCGGGCTCAGGGAACATAAACAAACATCGAGGGTACATCAGCCCCCTCGTGACCAGTGAACAACCTGCAGTACAACCAGATATTATTGAGAATTTAAAGATTGTAATTTTTTATATTTTTTTCACTCATTACACACGCATTAAATGTGAATATTAGCAGAACATAACTCCAGATTCAAAGACAGGTGAACAGTTAGTATTTTGTCAAGTTACCATGGGCAGCAATGCAGGCTTCAATGCGGCGGGGCATACTACTGATCAAAGAAGTTAGAAAGTCGTGGTCTATGCTGTCCCAATATCGGACCACCTCTTCTTTCATTTCAGCAATATTTGTTAGATTTTTCTTATTGACACGTTCCATCATAAGTCCCCAAACATTTTGTATTGGATTTAGGTCAGGGCTATAGCTTGGCCAATCTAATAATGTCATATTTTGGGTCCGAAACCAGGCCTGTGAATGCTTTGAACGATGTTGTGGGTCGTTGTCCTGCTGGAAAATCAAAAATTTCCATAGAACACATGAGCAGATGGAATTAAATGTCCCTCGAGAATATCTGTGTACCTCTCACTGTTCATCTTCCCTTCAAATACACAGAGGGGCGTTGCCCCTAACACAGATATGCCACCCCACACGTTAAATTTCGGACTGTACTTTGGGCGCTGATACAAAGGTTTTTCAGTTTCTTTGGTCCAGAATTTCAGTGTAAGTAGTATATAAGTAATCAGTTTCGGACATCAAAGCATTCCTAAGGAGAACAATAGCATTCCAGGGGAGAACAATAGCAATTTTTAAGGAGTACTCCTACATACCAAAGGAGTTTTCAGGAGCACATTCCATAAATTCCAGCGAGAACAATAGCATTTTTCAAGGAGCGCTCCTACATACTCAAGGAGCTTTCAGGAGCACATTCCATAAATTCCAGGAGCTGTCTTTTGAACCTATTCCATGACATCATTATATAATGAGATTACTCATGCTGATTGGAATGTGTATTGAAATGTTATGAATAGGAACCAAGCAAATTTGATATATTGAAATCATTGCTATTAAATTTGAAATGGGTGGAATGTTGCTCATGTCTATAAATTCATAGCTGATTCTAACCGCTTTCAATAAGTGCTTGGTACCATAAGTAATATGTTCATTAAGTAGTACATCTTATTTGTTATCACTTGTGAGCTAGTTTGTCGTACAGACCCTGAAGCAAATATATCCAAGAAAGCCCACGCAAGTCTAGAAAATGTTGCAAGTCTAGATTTCCTCAGCTTCTGAAAATGAAGAAAGTCTCAGGGCTCCCTTTCATTATATTATATATTTTTTTTTTACTATGATTTTTTTTCAGTAAAATATGTTAATTTCAGAGACTAGTTGTTAGTCTAACTTGTAAGCATGCATCACTTCTTACGTTATATTCCATCTGAATTCTAACCTAGAAATGCAGCAGTCTATTTCCTTTTATATGTAATATCAATGTTCAAACCATGTACATATAGCTTCTTTGGAAATAACATATTGTTTAAATCAAATGGTTTGAAAAAAAGTACAAATATATGTCAATATGAATGGAAGGCTTAGCCTGGTGAGTCACGCAGACTGGAATGTCAGTTACTGAAATTGAAAATATTCACCCAAACGCAACCGTCCACGTTAAAGTGGGACGAAAGTTGGTCATCTCGCCTCAAAGTTGTGTTCTGGCGCTACACTCCAGCGGATCGCAATTTTTTCAATCTAAGATATACTACCCATCAAACGCTTGAACTCACTAGTGAAAATTAAGTAAAAAAAAAGGTTAATGGTTCCTGCGGCAAAGATTAATTATTTCCAAAACCCTGCAAGATATCATTACACAGCCAACTTGCATGAATTCGATATGGGTCATGCTTCCACAAAACAAGGTCATTTCCGATTTCCGTAATTCTGTAACAAACATAACTCTCTGATTCATTAAAGGCTTTATCAGATCCCGCCATTTTTAAGGATATTATAGTGCAATATCGTTATTCGCTAAATTATACGTTGATTTAGTCATATTCTTTCGCATCTGTTGCGTTCAGGGTTATTTATAATATGATTAATCCAGAAACCTTTCGGCATTGAATCGATGTCAATGCATTTCGCGTTTTCCACCGGAGAATTTGGTAGTATGCGAAAATCCACGAAGGTTAAGATATATGATGCAAACGCTTCCGTTTGTCATGGTAACAGCCATCTTGAGGAAAGAAGTCCATTGAACCAGTTCGCCAAACAACGATGGTGTCCGAAGTTGAGTAGGCGATATGGAATACGGTTTCACCTTTCGCAGCCGCCAGCGATGTTGATCGCGAATAATTAGTCCGGTATCGCGAACTGGCGATAAAGTACGTTTTGTTCTACGAATAAATGAATTTCGCCAGATCGATGTTCGCGTATATCGAAGCGCCAGTTGTCGACCGAGTGCCGAAGTTTTATGTTGCTCAGTTCATTTCCATTATTTATCTAATTCCTTCGAGTTCATTCATCCTCGCCCATCGCAAAATCCAACGTTCATTCATGGATCGAATTTATCCCCATTGTCCACCCAACCACCATCCCCATCGCACCAACCCAGTTCGAATCATATCTGCGTTCCAGCATCCGCCAATCCATCCCGATTCCGTCCGTCCCGAACTTCGTTCCAGTTTGATCTGATACCGAACCACAAACCCAACCGATCCAGCTTTATCCCAGAACGTCCGTCCTGATCCCATAAACAGCGTACGGTGCCGCGTTCCAGAAAACGATGCCGAAAACAGCTATTCTCCAGCCTTCCGAACCTATCCACTCAGCCTGAATCGCAATGGAAGGCTGGTTAATTTAGTGGTGATGGCGGAAAATGGTAGCAGTATTGAAGTGGTTTAAAGCGGAATTTTATGGCTTTTTATCGGATGGGCGTTCATCCTTTCGTCGAAGCGATGGAACGGAACTTTACGCGTTCAGCAACCGCCATAATTTGAGCGATCCCACGGTTTGAGTTTTATTTGAACATGCTTCAAAACCCCCGTCCAGCCGGCATTCTTGATGGCACCATAAAGCGCTTCGATAGAGTCGAAAGTTCAGTTTCCGTCCGGTCTGCGATGTTCCGCCATCCTTCCCGGCGACCAGCCGCATTGAAACCGACCGAACGCCGCGTGCTGATGGTTTGCTTATTCCTTTAATATCATCATCAGTCATCGGCAGCCATGACAGATTCACTGTCACTTTCACTTCGGGCATATCTATACGAGTCAGAATGTCTTTTCATGATCGTTTTCATGAAACGGGTTATCTTGTTTTGATGACAGATTGATCAGTGCCAGGGTCCATATCACCAGGCTGTCTAGGTTGGGTTGGAATTAGAGGTGCCTGTTTAAAGTATTGAGTGAACTCTATGACATTGTTAAGGCTATTGGCCAATTCATTTCCCCATATCTGTTTCATTTTCTGTCAATCCAATCTTCTGTTCGACCCTGTTGTCTGTACTTTTTCCTTTCATCACGTCGTGGTTGATGTTGTACACACGATTCCAGATGCATTGTAAACCCACATTTTGCCACTCCTCCATGTCAGTGCTTGAAGGCTTCCCACGACATTGTTTTTCCAGCAGAACCTCCTCCTTTCTGTACAGGAAGTTGTTCCTCGCCTTCACTGTTGTCGTCACTATCATATCTGAGACGTTTCCTCTTGGATTTCAAACTGGTGTTTGCTGGACACCATGTTTTGATATGTCGCTGTAGATCATGCATATTGTCTATCAATACGCCTCAGTCGGTACACGCAGTGGCCATGGTGAAAGGTCCTGTGTCGTCCTCTCGAGATGGTGAAAGTGTCATTGTCAAAGCTAAGAGATCTTTCTTTGGATCGTCAGCACGAGATGGATGCTGTTTCAGTGGTGTAGTGGTTAGCGTTGGCCAAAAGGCTAATCCTGAGAGATCTTTCTTTGGATGTGTTGTGTCCCTGGGCATCAGCACAAATGTTCAAAATCCTGAAAAGCTGTCTGAACGTCTAATACTGTAGCAGAGACAATTCGTCTTTTACCTGTTTTGATTCTGAGTTGCAAATTATTATTATTATTTTGTTGCCCACTCTGTTGATCAGATGTATTGAGGTTGGTTTTCAAGAGATGGAGTCTATTCTTTTCACTTGTACTAGGTTTGAGATCCACTGTGAGGTGTCCATAAGGTGTTTCAACAGCCTTTTCATAAAGAGTCATAAATCTACTAATGTCGTCAGGAAATATCCTTCTGGTAAATAACTTCACCTGCTGTCTGTCCACTGGTGAATTGAAAAGTGTTACATAATGTGAATTTAGAGCAATGTCACGAGATTCCTTACCTCTTGGGAAGAGGTTTTGCAATAGCAAGAAGATAATAACATTTTTGTGGTGGGAGGTTTGAGTAAACAGACGGGAAATCCGCTTATCGTTCTTTGCTTCAGACAGAAAATCATCCAACACCATCAGGTTCTGGTTGTGGGCATCAAAGTAGTTTTCATCTTCGATATTGTAAGGTATTCCTTTCACAAAACGTACTTGGGGTAAAGTTTGAAGAATG